TTTTTTTTTTTTTTTTGTTTCCACGTGCTACGAATTTTCTTAATACGTCGTTGTTACGAAATGAGTTAAAAAAAAAAACGTATTCTCAATATTTTCGGCCTGCCTACAAAGCCGAATTTCCAACAATTAAAGAATCCTTCAAAGGAAATAACTATGCATTTTGCAACGCGTGACTTCATAATAAGTCACGGTGGAAGAAGCGACATTGTGAAGCATGTTAAGTCTAAAAAGCACGAAGTTAATGCTTCGGCTTCGACAACGTCAAAGAAAGTGGATGATTTTTTTTCAAATTCGGCTACGAATTCGGATGCCGATGTCATTTTGGCAGAGTTTTTGTTTACTGCATTCCTCATCGAACACAACGTTCCGCTAAGCGCTGCGGATCACGCCGGTGAACTTTTCAGACGGATGTTTCCCGACTCCAAGATTGCTCAGAAATATGCTTGTGCTTGCACGAAAACATCTTCTATTGTGAACGAAATTGCTTGCGATGCACAAAGTAAAACGATAGCTGCACTCCAGAATTCAGCATTTTCGGTGTCAATCGATGGCAGCAACGACAGCGATTGGAAGCTTTACCCCATCGTTGTCACATATTTCTGTGATGTTTCTAATGAAATGAAAACTCATCTTTTGCATCTTCCATTGTTAAATGGAGACGCTACGGGGAAAATATTGCCTCCTTGGTAATTAATGAGTTGAAACAACTTAACATCCCAATATCAAACTGCATTTCATTTGGTGCAGATAATGCTCATGTCATGGTGGGTGACAAAAAGGGTGTAGCCTCTTTCCTCAAAAAAGAACAAAATGAATTAATTGTTAATGGATGCCCATGCCACTTAATTAATTTGGCAGCAGAAAAAGCTGCAGCTGCTTTACCATTAAATATTGACCAGCTTCTGATTGATGTGTTTTTTCTCTATCTGGAAAAAAGTGTAAAAAGGAAAGAAAACCTAAAGAATTTCCAAGAACTGTGCTCTGGTGAAACGAGAAAAATTCTGAAACATGTATGCACGAGATGGTTATCCTTAGGCAGAGCGCTAGGAAGGTTTATTGAACAGTGGGATGCATTGCTAAAATATTTCCACGAAGAGACCAAAACGAAACCACAGATCCCATCAAATTTGTCGGCATATAAGATTCCGAAAACCAACTTTGCTTCTAATCAAAATGCTTTAAAAGGGAAAAGCCAACACACAGAATCAAACCCTTTAAAAAGAAAATGCTTAGAAGACTCCTCAAAGGTCAACTTTGTTAAAGAAGTTGAAGGGAAGAAGAAACAGTCTTCTATTAGCCGAGAGGAAAGGATTTTCTATGTTCTTTCTTCTTCTTCTTCGGATTTGAACAAAGCATATTGTAGTTTTGTGTTAAGTACCATTAAGATTTTTGAAAGTGTAAATACCCTTCTACAATCAGCTTCGCCAAAATCTCCCCTGCTTATCCAAATTCTTAATGATCTTTTGAAAGAACTTTATACTAAGTTTGTAAAACCGTCCGTTGTGAAAAACAGTGTTGTTGATTCGTGTTGCCTATAATAGTTTGGCAAATCAAAAGGATGACAATGATCTTATAATTGGAAATCAAACCAGGGAACTTGTAAATTCTTTGAAAGATCATGAGAAAAAAAGAATTTTTTCAATGTGTTAGAAAGTACTTTTCCTCAGCCTGTGATTACATTGTAAGGAAGTTTCCTTTGCAAAATGAAGTTCTTTTAAATGCTGAAGTGGCAAATTTGAAACAAATTGAAAATTCATCTTTTGAAAAGATTCGTTTTTTTATTGATAAATTTCCATTTTTGTTAACAATTAAAGAAAATGAATGCCATAATGATGCTTTAGATGAACTACAGAACCAATTTTCTGCTGCACAGTTTGAAGACTTTGCCAGTTCTGGAGAAGATAGACTTGATGTCCTCGTTGGTACCTTAAAAAGAATAAAAAGAGCTGATGGAACACCAAAATATGATAGACTAGCAAGAGTTTTATGTGCTATTCTCGTAATTCCACACAGTAATGCTGAGTGCGAGAGAGTCTTCAGTGTTGTGAAGAAAAACAAAACTGTTTCGTTCTTCAATTTCACCAAAAACTCTAGAAAACATTTTAATTCCTAAATGTTATGACAGGAAATTTTCCAAAGAATTTTTGGCTAAAGCCAAAAAATGCACTCTAAATTCATTGCAATAATTTTTTTGTGTAATTTTAAGTTCTTGTTTTATGTTTCCTAATAAATTTTTTAGTTACTACTTAATAGAGATTTACTAATGTAAGTACAATTTTCTTTTTTCTATTTGTATAAATTGTTATTTTTTTAATATCAAAGCATGATATTAATTCTTCGTGTTCTGAATTTTGGAGAAATCTTCTGAATTTTTATCTTTAGAGGTTGGCAGGTATGATATTCGTAATTGAATAATGAAGAGTATGGTAATCCCTTGACATTACACTTGTCGCCAGATACAGATTTAAATTAAATGCACTAAATGTTTATGAAGGAAGATTTTTTAAAATTTCTTTTCATTTGCAAAAAATAGATTTTGTTAATCATATTTATAGGCTGCACCGGGCAGCAGCAATTCCCCAATCATGAATCAAAGGACGCCGAAATCTGTAGTATGGCTCTAGATCCAGAAAATACCAATAGTGAAGAAAGTGACTGAGAGGTTATGGAAAACGAAAAAATTTCAATTGATTAGTCGGAATTCTTGATCCACCAATTACAGGACTTGAACAATGGAAAACAGTGTGTTGTTTCGTAACTGAAGAAGAAATTATATGTTTATAGAATTAAAGAGAGTCGCCCAGATGGTATAGTGGTTAGGGGAGCAGACTGCAATACCAAAGGGCCTAGTTTCGAATCCTAGAGAAGGCATGGTTGCAACTGTCTGTCCCTTCATAGGAGACAAAGGTGGCCCACTTATTAGGTGCCTCCATTAATAAAGTGATCACCACTTCTAGTCTTAGTAGTGGCCAAGCCGAAATCGCCTGATGGCCCGCCACTGGTTAAAAAAAAAAGGATTAACCGTTTCAGGCCCAATGGGTTATATAAGTCCCAGTAGATGTTTAAAGAAGCCTAGATGGAATTATACGCATCAATTTACTACATAGTTGATGCCCCACTGCTAGTAGGCATCATTTCTAACATGGCCACTATAAAATTGTCGCACGCCTCTTCTTATAGAGGCTTCGTGATAGACTGTCAATTTCATTTGTGATAATTACCAAGAATACATATAAAAATCAAGTCAGTTGAAACAAACAAATAAATTGGGACTGAAAGGGTTAAAGAGAAAGTATTAGCACAAAGAAACAAAGCTATTTAAACAACTTGCAGTGAAAGAAATGTTTAATAAGGTAAACATATAAATATTAAGCTTTTCTTAATGTAAATTTTGATACCTTTTAGATTATAAAGGCATCATTATTTCACGACTTTATAATCATGATTTTGTATTTTTTATTTTTATAATTTCTAGGTGCCATCTTGCTAGATTTAAAGTGATGATCTAATATCCAGAAACATCCCAAATCTGGTATCAACAAAGTTCTGACGAGTCCTGATCTCGGACTTTGTGCTGTATAAATTAAGCATACAAATATAAGGCCAAGGTGTGGATACATGTACATATGTATAGATGAAATCAATACAAATATTTAAACATTACACATCAAGCAAGAAAAATATACAAAATTAAGCAAGAGTGTACAAGCATATGTATAATGGCTAGATCCTTTTAATAGTGAGAACATAGGAAGTACAGACTTTAGTGTAATATGCACGCCTGTATTTTCAGATGTTAGCTGCCCATGCATGGCAACTCTTAACTGTTGGCTCTCAGAGGTAAATGGGCAATCAAATACATAGTAATTAAGTCAATTTTGCCACATATGCTAAGATATTTTTTATGAAACCAAACTGATGATTTTAAGGTAGCTCTTATAAACGAGGTGAAAATTTTTAAAGTTTAATCTTTAAAAATGAAAATGAATTAATCAATTAAAAATGAAGCCTAAAATATCGTGCAAATTTCAGAAATACGTTTGGGGTGAAGGATTTTCAGATATGAAAGAAGGAGAAGTTGGAGAATTAATCTAGAAATAATGAATGATCTGACCAGCAGCTGAAAGTGATAGCAAAGAAAAATTTCTTTAAAGTATAAAAAGTTAAACAACTTGTTAAAAAAAGGATAAGAACTGTCTGATTTCGCAATGGAGATGATGAGAATAATTGTATAATGTACTTATTTGTCAAGTAGTAATGAAAGTCCTTTCCACTAATGTTTGCTTCATTTTTCCTTTTTAATTTCAACCAGTATTTAAGTTTGTTTAAAATTTACATATTTTCTTCATTTGAACTACGTTTTGTTTTATGGAATGAAGTTTTGCTGTAGGTATAAAGCATTATGATGTACTCCCATATTCGGCAAGGGTTTGCTGATATCAATTATCATGTTGCCTACACTAATGATATTCAGAAAATATAGCCTTCTTTCAATGGCAGCAGTCTTAAAATTCAATGGTTAATATTTAGCATGTTCAATTTTTTATTTTGTAATCTGATATTTGACAGCAGGAGTTAAAAAATATTATTTCAATTCTACTTCCTAATTAATAGATGGCAGTATCATCCCCCTGGTACTGCCAGATAGTAAAAAAGAAAAATGCAAGTTTTGTTGATTTGTTTGTTTTGTCTTATTTTTATGTGCAACCCAATTTTATATCATAAGATACTATAGAACTATTTTAAAAAAAGTATATCAAATTTTGAATCAAACATAATTAAGAAACTTCTTTTTTTCATATTAAAAGAATACCATATTTATTAAAAACTATCACCAGTTTGATTTGGAAAAGATATTATGGAAATTAGAATTAATTCATGTATGAAAAATATTTTTAGAATCATGTGAAAAAGGGTTTAGTGTAGTATGCAAAGCAAGAAAATTTTCTAAGATATATAAAAATGAAATGGCAGAACGTGTGATTTGGAACAGCAACAAATTTTATGCAATTTTTTTTTTATTCAGATCATGCAGGTTCACAATAAGAATTCCAAAAATAAATATTTATAAAATCATTATAACATTTGTTCATTTAAATAACTTAGGAAAAAAGTATGAGGGAACATTTAGAAGAGAAACTGAGTACAATGCTGTTGGAAAGATTTATTTGTTACTTGATTACAAAGCTCTTTAAGTGGTAAATAGAACTTCACATTGCATCTCTCATACATTACATTCAAATGCATGCAACTTGCAGTCCTTATACATTTAGAGTTGAATAAAATTGGAATGTACAAAAAACATAGAAATTGAAGAAAAAAAAAAAAAAAAGCAGTAAGCACTGACACTTTTAAATTATAAGAAAATCATTTGTTCTGGCTTATGCTACCGTACCATACCAGATGGTACGCATTAAGAAACAATAATATGAGTACACCTGTCTTAAGTCTAAAGAAATCGATCCTGCCGATATAGGTCTCGAAATTGGAAGACGAGTGTTTCAGGTGTTCAAATTTTAAAGCATTTACAGGCCAGGCAACTTTTTTGCTAACTTCTGTAGTGTATTTGAAATATGATTTTTGGTTGGAAGATTTGAATTGAAAGAACTGTAATATTAAAGAACCATGCTTAATACTTTGTGCATTGAAATGTGTTGGAACTGTGCAATGCAGATAAAGTTTAAACAAACATGCATATTTTATTATCTTTTAAAATAAATTAGTAAAAACAATTACAGTAAATCAGTTTAAAAAATCAGCATATGTAACACAAAAAAATTAACTGTAAAAATATAAAAATTCTCAGTATGATACATAAATATTTGTGGTCATTATATCAGAAAGTGAGTGATGCAGTAAAAAGTATTAAATTTAGTATTTTATTTCTTGTTGATTTTTTATTTTATAAACAGATCGTTAGTATGTTTTCGTCAAAAGTATTGACAGTTACAATTATTAAACTAAAAAATTTGCATGTATTTATAAAATAGCTGGAAAAAAAATCCTGATGTTATACACACACATAAAAATTAATTAGTGATGCAAGCTTAGATTTGCATTCTGTCAAGACTGAGTGAGAGCATGATATTGAATCTAGTGATTGAACATGAAATTTTGATTTGAATTTGTTAACAAATTTCATACACCCTAAAAAACTTGACACTATTAGGAGAAAAATAAAATGTGAATTTTTTATATTGAGCATAAAATTTGCCAACAAAAACAAAATACATTTTTTATGAGCTAGTCCCACTGGATATAAGCAAGCTGTACATGTCAATTATAAAAAGCACACTAATAATTTACAAGCCAGTCAGTCAGTCCCAATCACCTCCACATCATCACTACAAATTTAAATATAGCTCTACATTGTTTTTTAATCACAGCCCAGCAATATTTTTTTTTTTTTTTGCTAGTGGAATGTTAACATAGGAAGTGAAAGAACTTTACAGTGATTATTTACAGTACATTCAAACGCAAGGGACGGCCGCACTATCACGTTGGCACTTCTTCATGGTGGCTAGTCAGTAGTAGTCTCTCTTAGGGGCCATTGTTGTCTTTTTACCCTGCCACAAACTATTCTGAATTGTGAAGGCGTCAATAGTTGCAGTAAGATGCTTTGTATGAATCTGAGTAAAAGACTTTCCTCCAGAATTATACCTAAAATCAAACAATAAATATTAATATCTGTTTATTAAAATTTATACTACACATATAGTACAAAGTCCGATACTCAGAATTATCAGGACATACGTGATTCTGGATTTCAGGTCATTAGTTTAAATCTAGTAAGAACACTGATAGCAGCACTGGAGCTTCATTTATTGTTTAGGTCAGACAGAAAAATGCTATCCCCCTCACCAACAGGGCCAGGTGGGAAAAATTTTAGAATTTAAAGAAGCACCATGCAGCAAAAATTAGGGACAGAATTTAGAAGAGGCACTAGGCAGTAGAATTTAGGAGTGGTAAAATTTTTAGAATTTATGAAGGTACCACACAGCTGAATTTAGGACCACGTAGCTTTCACTGGGCGACAAAATTCATAATGTCAGCTGAAAGTGTGATCCTGGCCAACACCAATCAATGTTTTTTCCTTGGCTACAGTACATTTTTGGTTTAGCTGATTATGGCAAAGTACACTAGGGCTATCTGCCTAAGGTGAGATATGCCTTTGTGGATAATTTCCTAAAGGAAACTGGCTCATATAAAAGACACAGAGGGAAAACCTTGAAAATGCCCATCCAGCCGCCTATTTGCCTGAAAGAAAATGGCTAGAGTATAAAATCGTAGCCAGCAAGTGTTTGAAAGTGACATATAAAAATCTAAGTTGGAAGCTTAAGTGAAATTGAGCTTAAGTGACATATAAAAATCTAAGTTGGAAGTTGAACACATGCTACCTTTTGTTGATAATCTCGATTCCTATATTTCATAAAGGAATTTTTCCTCATTAATTTATTTGTCTATTTTTTGGCTGGTGGTCTGAATGTCGAGGTTTTAGACTGTACATATCTGTGTGTACTTTGTAAGTATTTAATTTACTGTACATTTCCAAATAAAAGTGCATCTATGTATAAATGGCAAGATTATGCTACAAAAATTCAGCTGCAATCTAAAAACTGTGTCTAAGTGTAATTGAAAATCACAATGTAAATCTAGCTTTATTTATTGACAAAAGTGATAATAATTGGTTGTCTAATTTAGTTACCACTCACCAGTTTATAAGCAAGCTGAAAGTGAGTGCCAATTCAACCTTCAAAAGTTCCACATCAAATTACATAAAATAGTGTGGAAAATTTCATGACTTTCAATTATGGTAAATATTTTCAAGCAATCAAGAATTCTTCTTCCCTCACTTGTGATCTAAGTAAAATGCATTTTTTATTTCTATGTAATGAAAGATTCCCTTCCCCCCGAAAAAGGCTGTATATTTTGCTAAAAGTAATCACTTTTGGTGAGCAATGCTGTAAACAAAATTGACAAAGGTGCGGTAAAGGTATTATCCATAACATGGATCATAATAATGTCAGTGGGAAAATGTAGCACAATGACATTCACATAATTTTTCAGTCTAGTTGAGCAAGACTTTTAAGAATTGCTAGAAAACTCCAAGTTAGATATTAATTGGTATTATGGTCCATAATAGTATTTAGGTATTTTATGGCTGTCTGAAATGGTTTTACTGGGGTAACAAGCCTTAAAGTTTCCTAAGCAGTACTGCCACCACATGCAATCAGCATATATATTCTCAGTTTTACATGTTATATATTAGAAATGTGGATTTGTTAACTACTCAGAATTTCTAAAGAAAAAGTAAAGAATTTTATGGTCCAGAACTGGTGATAGCCTGTTTCATGAACTGCTGTTGATGGAGTGCAGTTAGCACTGGGACTCATTTAGGTCCACAACTATGCAGCTCCTTAACAGAGATGAATTCAATTAAATGTGTTGCAAATGACAGTCTCGTTTATCATTATTATAGCGGTGGGTAATTTATTAGACCTGGCCCTGTAGTTGCTATGAATAATGGCATGACAGTTTCTGATGGTTTTTGACATCAATGAGTAATGGCTGACAATGGCACTGGTTTTCCCATCCTTATATATCACTTTTAATAGGTATTCTCAACAGCAGCCATTAATAGCTCACAAGCCCCACTATTTCAGCAATACTGGTTCCAAGTTGCCATTCTACCGTAATTTTCATTTTATCAAACTCTGATAAATCAAGCTGCTTTTCTGATTTTGAAACTGGACACATCTTAATAGGAAGCCAGTGCTGGAGATGTTCATCTATTCTGTGCAATGATATGATTAACTACTCTTTCTTTAAGCAAGCATATTTATTTTTGTAGGCTGAAAGTGGTCATAATATAATAAGTCTTTCATATAAATCTACAGTCTAAATCATGTAGCACATTGTTCTCCATAATGTGAATAAAAAGCTATATAAAACAAGCACATATTTTTCACTTATAACTGTGCAATGATATCAACAGGACATCAAGGTTCTAACAATAATAAATGAGCTTTCATGAAAAGTGATATAGGATAACTCAAATAGACTTCATAATTAAATTTTTCCATTGATCAAGATCACATGAAAAGCTACAGAATTAAATTCAAAATCGAGTTTGCAAATTTGAAAATTAGAGAATATTTTAGAATAATATCATAAAAATAAGATATAATAATAAAGTTTCTCATCATATAAATTCAAAATAGAATGTAAAAATATATGTATATAATGGGTTAACAAGAAGGTAATTTCGATTTGCACAAATAGATAGTGTTATGTTCCTTTTGTTATTTTTTTCTTAATCTTATAGTTTTACAGTCAAAAGTTGTTAATTTGGACACCCATAATCCGGACCTCAAAGCTACAAACTTTCTGCGCATGCGCGTAAGACCTTTACCGCTGCGAATTTGCGTGGGTGCGTGCGCAAAATACGTTTACGAATGCGCGTTTAATGTATAACGGATGGGATAAGCTAAGCTAAAATTATCTAATTATCTATTTCAGTTAATGTTGCAGATTGCATTGTTCCTTAATCTTTGAATTGGATCCGGATTATTATTTTTTGCAGACTGTTAGAGCAATTTTATAAAAGTAAGCTTGAACTTTCGATTACGTCAAATAGAATTTCCAATATATATTTACTAATATGTAAAGGATATACAAAGCGAAAGTATCTTTCGGAGTCCAAAAAGTGGAATTGCTGCAAAAAATGGATAAAGGCACATCCTTTGTTTATCTAAACTTTGTTTATCTTTAACGCTGCAGCGGTGTGCAATGAATTGAAGTTGATTTGTCAGCACTATCCTTATCTTAAGAACAGATGTTTTTATTTTATTTGGCTTATAATTGCTTACTCAATGTACTTCATCTTTGATATGATTTAAATCAAATGCCTCGTCATTATAATCCGCTTCCGACAGCGAAGAAAGTAACAGAGGTTATTGAAAACGAAAAAATTTCGATTGACAAATTAGTCGGTATTCTCGACACAGCAATTATAGGACTTGAACAGCGGCAACTTACATTGAAAGAAATGTTTAATAAAGTAAACAAATAAATATTAAGCTTTTTTTTGTAAATTTTGATACCCTTTAGATCATAATTGTTCTTTATTTCGTAAATTACGGCTTCATATTTTTAATTTTATAATTTCTGCATGCCATTTTACCAGATTTAAACTGATGATCTATAATCCAGAAAAATCAATAATCCGGAATCGCCGAAGTCCCGACGAGTCCGGATTAACGACTTTTAACTGTATTTTTATTTCTGTTTACAACTATTATTTTATGGTCAATTTTAACATGAGGTGCAAAAATTAATATTTTCAACATACTTCTTTTATTTTCACAAAGGCAAGAATGCATCTGAGGCTCACAAAGAGAGAGATATGTGAAGCTTATGGTGTTGATGTTGCTTAACATAAAACATATCAGAGTTGGCTTAAAAAATTTCATTCGGGAGAGTTTTCACTTGAAGATGACCAATGTTCTGGCCAACCTCCTGAAGTTGATGATGATTAAAAGCCATAATTGAAGTGAATCATCACATAGATGTGTGAGATTTAAAAAAGTTTAAATGTATCACACACAACAACTGACAATTATCTAAGAAGTCTTAGACTCATTATGAAGCTTAATATTTGAGTTGCACTTAGAACAATAGAAATTCACTTAATGAATCAATATTGCGATACGCATTTCAAATGCAATGCAAATGACCTTTTTTTAAATGAATTATTATTGGTGATGAAAAGTGGATCACGTACTACAATTACATTAATCGATAAAGATCCTAATCTAAGCATGACAAATCAGCACAAATAATATCAAAATCTAAATTGCATCAGAAAAAGATTATGCTGTCAATTTGATGGGATTACAAAGGTGTTGTGCACTCTGAGCTGCTTACAAGTGACCAAATGATCAACTCAGATGTTTACGGTCAGTAACTTGCAGCCAAAGAGACCAGAATAGCAAATAACAAAGGAATCATGTTACACCACAGCAATGTGAGGACAAATCTCTAGCAACACATACAAAATTATTGGAGCTTGGTTGGGATATGATGTCACATCCCCCACATAGCCCTGACTTTGCATCACCAGATTATCATTTATTTCAAAGTTTACAAAATGTATTAAATAGTAATAACAATGACCTCAAATCGCACTTGGTTGAGTTTTTTGCTAATAAAGACCAGAAGTTCTATGAACGAAGAATCATGAAGTTACCAGAAAGATAGCAAAAGGTTATCAAACAAAATAGAAGATATTTGATTGATAAAAGTTCATTTTCTGTAGAGAAAAACTGAGTTTTATTTCAAACCAAAATTACTTTCTTACCAACCCAATAATAAAATTTTACCCTTCAAAGAAACTTAACAAAATAACAATCTTACTTGTAAAATCTATCCATCATTTTATCGGTAATGACTCTTGGACCAATACCATATAGTTTGATAACTTCTTCAGTTTCAGGATTATACGAATAAAGAGCCCGGAATTGGCAGCCAGCATCTCGAAATAGTATTAGAAAGTGTTTTCCTTCAGAACGTTCTATTTCCTGCATATATTAAAAAAGAATATATATTATGCTGAATTACTTTAATTTTACACATTAACACTATCAGAAAGTTTTTTCTTCTTTCTGCATTTAAAAGCGAGAGAAAGAGGGGGAGGGGAAAAAAAAAAAAAAAAAAAAAACCTAATTTCCTTCATATAATTATTTATACATAAAAAAGTATCACAAAATATTTTCTTTCAGAAAGTTCTGCACAAAAATGAAGAATTATGCTATGCTGTGTGTGTGTGATTATGGCAAAGCGTCGAGAGCCATCTGCCTAAGGGGCGGGATGCCTTCGTGGAGGACTTTCTAAGGGAAACTGGTTCTATACACATTACACATGAGGAAAACCGCGAAAACACCCACGCAGCCAGCCCGTTCGCAGGATTCGAACCTCGGACCGAACTACCAGTGTTCAGCTACTTTACCGCTCGTTTGCTGGTGGGCCATATGCTATGCTGATTTATATAATTATACATAATGCTTTGTTTCAGAATTTTCCATTTTAAAACAAAGAAATTATGCTAAATTGCTTTGTATAATTATATATATCTGCTTTAGTTCTACAAATTCTCTCAGGATTTCAAATTTATAAATAAATAAAAAAGCTGCTATAAAAACAGTATTAAAAAATCAAAATATTATTTTGATTACTGGCAGTTTTTTTTTTTTTTTTTAATTTTAAAATCATTTATGTTCTGTATAATACAGAACCAATTTTAAGTTCATATTTAAATTTGTAACTTATCCAATTAGTGTGTAAATTAGTTCAGTTAGTTTAATTATTACAGCAGCACACTACTATTTGCATAAGAGGATGGATACCTTTATGAAGGATTTCTAAGGGAAACTGACTTGCATCCAAGTTATACATAGGAGAAGCCATGCAATCAGCACATTGACTAGTTTGATGTCAGACTGAACTACCAACATTTAGCGACTTTATAACTCAGATGCTGGTGAGCCCATTTAGTATGTAAAATTTAATAACCATGTATGTATTAAAAAAGCAGAATGTATGCAAACTAATTACAGTTTATTTTTCCTAATTTAAATTCCATTAGAGGAGAATGACATAATTATCAAAATTTTCACATTTCAATTTCTGAAAGATTTTGACTGTTTGTCATATCAAAATTTAGTTTAACTCTAAAGATGATCTGAAAGATAACATTTTTACAAATTCTAAGATGCTAATTTATTGTTTTTGAAACAATATTTTAAAATACACTTGCTATTTTAAGGAGATTTTATAATTTAAGTTCCAACGATATACTATTTATACTATTTATTAAAACATTTTGGACAGGAAACGTTTTGCTGAAAATTAAAGCACCTTATCAATTATAATGAGAAAATTCGAATACATTTGCTATTTTAAGAAGACTTTATAATTAAAGTTTGAATGATATACTATTTATTAAAGCATTTTGGGCAGGAAACGTTTTCCTGAAAAATTAAAGCACCTTATTAATTATAATGAGAAAATTTGAATACATTTGCTATTTTAAGGAGCCTTCATAATTAAAGTTCCAACGACAGATAACCAAAAAGGGCTATATAGTAAAACATTTCGGACAGGAAACGGTTTGCTGAAAAATTAAAGTACCTTATTAATCATAATAACAAAATTCAAATTATATACTTATTAGTGAAAATAACAGGCAATATAACGAAATAAATCAAAGAGGATAGAGTCTCAAATTTACGAGCTCAAATAGAGTTCATTAATCAGAATGCCATTAAGAATAAATGTAATTAGCACTAAGTTTAATTTGTTTAAAATTTAAAAAAATTAAATTTGTTTGTTTCTTGACTATTATACTTCAATAAAGTTTTAGAGAATTCCCATACAGCTAATCCAAACATTTCAGCAGTTTCCATTTTTCATCAAGACATGAGTATTTATTTATTTTACTTTTAAATAATAATAATAATAAATTAATTTTTTTATTTGAAAAAGTGATAAATCAACTAAGTGAAAATACGAACAGTGTATAATGTGAAAATTTTTTTAGCGCAAACAAAAAATGTCGAATTCTGGATTACTTTATAACGTTGCGCGCCTCCAACTTGCACGCAACCAAGAGGTGACTGTGAAAACTTGTATAAAAAATAGAGCCTTGTGAAGGGTTTAAGTCCCTTTTTATTCCACGTAATAAATTACAATTGCGTCCTCTTGACGCTTACAGACTGTGCCAACTTGGCAGTCAAATAAAAATAATAACCTGAAAAGAAAGTAAAGACAAGATTCTAACTATGAGGCTCTCTAAAATAACTAACTCACCGCGTTTTACAATACCGCTGCTAATTCAGCAGACTTGAAGCTCACTGGAACGATTACCACTACTTCCCGCCAAGCACATAGGCCGCAACGTGGGGTTCTTCAATTCTTGCTAAGTAAGAATATCACACCGAACTTGTTTCCTTCCTATTTAAATCAGAATACTTCCGCTGATAATTTGAATGCTTGCGCGTTCTACTCAAATTTACATATTCTGGCATTGGCAGTTCCAGGGGAAAGTAAGGCTTGACAGGAAAGATAGTTTTAAACTTAAAATAAATGTTAGTTAAAATAAATATAAACCCTACAACTTTGCCAAGTGTTAACATAATTTACACCAATGGAACTTGCAATGCAATCATTTTTAAGAGAAAACAGTACTGGAGTGAGAAAGAACACATAAATCAGAATGTCTCCATATGAAGGACTGAATCTCAATGATGTGGTTATTTAATGTTTGGGCTTGTTAATGTTAACATTTACAAAATTAAACATAAAATCAAAATTATTTCCCCCATTGCTTTAGTCGTATTTTTATCACTTTTATAAAAACAAAAGAGCAAATTTCATACATAAATTTAACTATTTACAAAAGGGAGTAAAGGTGAGGTTGAATATCTGTTACATTAAATGAGCTCCTTTTAAATTAGCCTTTGACTATACAGGCCATATATATACATATATATAGCTTAAATATCTTTTGTGACGTCTTTAACAAAGTATATATAATACACTGCTCGACACTGAAAATGCCTCACCAAGAACGAGTGGTCGAGTCACCAAGAACGAGAAAGTGATGAAATTTGGAAAAAAGACAGAGACAGCAAGCAGCAATAAGTGACCTTTTATTTCAAAATGAAAGTCAGGATACAGAGCAAGAACATCGTTGGCTCAATAGGATGTAGGACCACCGCAGACTGCGATGCACGAAGAAACACGTCTAGGCATAGAGTCAATAAGAGTCTGGATGGTGTCCTGACGGATGGCTCTCCATTCCCTTTCAACCATTTGCCAGAGTTTGTCTTCTGAAAGAGGCAGGGGCAGAGTCTGCAAACGGCATCCAATCACATCCCACACATGTTCGATTGGTGACAGGTCAGGAGAGTACAGTGGCCAGGGAAGCATCTGTATACCTTGCAGAGCATGTTGGCAGATGCGAGCCCTGTGTGGTCAGGCATCCTGCTCAAAAATTGCATTAGGCAGGCCCTGATGATAGGGGATTGCCACCGGCTGCAGTACATTATCCAAGTATCGTTGGGCCATCATAGTGCCCTGAATACGAACTAGAGGTGACTTGGAATCATAGGCAATAGCGCTCTAAATCATTATGCCACGATGTCGAACGATGAGGCTTTCCAAAGTTACTGCCGGATTAGATCTGTCTCCACGTATGCAGCGACTGTCACTAGATAAACAGAAGCATGACTCTGAGAATATGACATTTCGCCATTCTGTCATCCACATCGCTCCAGTCCGGCACCATTCTAAACGTTGGCGTCTATGCTGTGGGGTCAATGGCAGTCTTCTTAACGGATGCTGTGAGTGCAGGCCACGTTCAACCAATCGACGGCAAATGGTTCTGGTTGACACAGTAACATCCAGGGTATCTTGCACATGCTGCAGAATCACGGTACAAGTGACTTGCAGGACCACCACATCTTGTTGGTAGATGCATCGATCCACACGTGCTGACGTCAGTCTGGCTGCACCTGCACTCCTCCTTTTCCCCACATTTCTTTGTTCCAATCATGTTCGCCATAGCCGATGCACCGTGCTCGCATCCATGTGGGTATCAGCTGCGTTTTTATGTAAGGACCAACCCGCCCTTCTCAGTCCATCCCTCGTAAAATCGTCTATCTGCTGGAAGTGCCTTCATTGGCGACAGCCTGGCATTCTCTCCTATTACACGTATCCTCAGGCACAAAAACCATCTTTCTTTGATAATTTGTCTGGCAGAAATAATTGACATGAATATTGCCCATTCTGCATGTTCCTTCCCTTATATCTTACTTCACGCGCGTCAGACAGCTGCGTATTTCACATCATTTGCATAACTTGGTGACATGCATCTACTCTAAAATTTGCATAAATTTCTGACCACGCCTTCTTGGTGTTGTATTTTCAATATCGAGCAGTGTATATACTTGCATCTTGAAATGTGATCAAGAAATTAAGGCATTATATTAGAAGTACACAAATCTAGGTATAAAATACCAAGGGCATTTTTGTATTAAGAAAATAGTTCTTTCTTATGGCAGTTCTGGGAAATTTGGGATTTGTCAGAGAAACCCTTGGCTGGTTGGAGGGTTAAAATTACTAGAAAAAGTCAAGCATTTAAAATTTATAAATATACCTGAATCTGCTAAGAATATAATAAAATCCAATATAATTAAGTGTTTGTGATTAGAAAATATGATCTGTAAAAAATATCAAATACATAACTTATTGGCAAGAAAATCTCCCGAATCTGAAATGAGGCTAACAAATTATACCGAAAGAACAAATCCATACCTCTAAAACTTTCCGCTTTGTTTCAGAATTTACAGCACCAGCCAGGACGGTATTCACAGCATTAGTCACAATGCCACGATTTGATTTTGTGGAAGGCTTTACAAATAGTTTTGGCCCTGTATATTCAGATGCCCAAGCAGAGGAAACAGTTGAACTGCTGTCGGACAAGCCATCACTTGGCGTGCTTCGATTACGACTGCCGCCTCCAAGCATACCTGATAATAAAGGCCCAGGAGAAGATGGGTACGAGGTTGGCGATATAGGGGAAGAATGTGGATAATTACGCGTCCGACACGGAGAAGGTGCATACCCATGCTCGGAGGATACTTCATCTGGATATCCACCTAAAATAAAAGGCTTACATTTAAATTTCATTTTATAAAATATATGAATGAAACTCTATGACCCTATAAGCCAAATCCTCCTCTCCCCCCATTTTCTTATTCACAAAAATTTATCTTCTTTAGTTAGTGACATAATTTCAGTTCTTCCTAGCACTTTAAGAGTTCTTACATCTTTGCTTTCTCACATTTTATTAGCATTTTCCTTGATAGATGACACTACATGCATTTTCACTTTGCTTCATCCATTGCTTTTAATATATAAATGGTTGCACTCCTTTCTTATTTTGCAGTCTGTTGAAGTTATATTCATAATTTGTGCTACAACATTTCTTCCCTTTCCCTTCATTAACCCTTCAGTTAATGCAACGTATCTGTAAGATTGTTTTCTGAAGTGAATGAAGAGAAATACCTTTACCAAATGAAGGGATAAAATGCTAATTTTACTTATAAAAGCATTCCTTAAATTGAATAAAATTTTAGTACACACATCATATATGTAACAAAACATATAAATTCTTCTTACAAAATAGAACAAAACAGGGGGGATTTCACAGTTTCAGGGTGAAATGCAGTCAGTGTTTTATTAACCTGTTAACATGCTGAATGCCATGCTAATTTCACACGGCTTGCCCGTCCGGCCAACATAATCATAAGTTGCAAATTTTTCACTATAAATTGAATATTTTGACGAAATATTAATTACAACAGAGAAATTAATGCACTTAGCAACTCTTACCACATCACAAACTTAAAAAAATGTCAAGAAAAAAAGAAATGTCTGGAAAAGCTAGAGTCAAGCGATGATTTTCTCAAGGGCATTATGAAAAAATTCAAAAAATTTAAGTAGGCTAAAGCCAAAAAAGTGACATACAGTGGAGACTGCATAGGTTTACCTTTCATTTGCTTTGAGGGCTTCAATACAACACATCACATAATGCACACATAACATTTAAGCTTACATGCTATATATATATATAAAAAATTATTTTTGTACGTTCTGTATTGCATTAATTTCTTCACACTATTTTAGTAATGAAGATAATACAGTCAAAAGTCGTTAATTCGGACACCCATAATCCGGACCTCAAAGCTTCAAACTTTCTGCGCGTGCATCGCTTCGACGCATCACGTAAGGCCTTTACGGCTGAGAATATGCTTGTGCGCGCAAAATACGTTTACGAGTGCGCGTTTAATGTATAATGGATGGTTAAGGCTAAGCTAAAATTATTTAATTATCTATTTCAGTTAATGTTGCAGATTGTGTTGTTCTGGATCCGGCTTATTATTTTTTGCAGACTGTTAGAGCAATTTATAAAAATAAGCTTGAACTTTCGATTATGTCAAATAGAATTTCTGATATATATTTATTAATATGTAAATGATCTACAAAGCGAAATATGTTTCGAAGTTCATTAAACAAAAAGTGGAGTTGCTGCAAAAAAAATGGATAAAGGCATATCCTTTGTTTATCTAAACTTTGTTTATCTTTAACGCTGCTGCGCAGCGCAATGAATTGGAAGATGATCTGTCAGCACTATCCTTATCTTCAGGGCAGATGTTTTATTTTTACTTGGCTTATAATTCCTTATTAAATGTAGTATTTCATCTCCATGTACTCCGTCTTTGATATGATTTAAATCAAATTCCTTGTCATTCTAATTCGCTTCCGATAGCGAAGAAAGTGACAGAGGTTATCGAAAACGAAAAAATTTCGATTGACAAACTTAGTCGGTATTCTCGACACAGCAATTATAGGACTTGAACAGTGGAAACTTTGTAACTGAACAAGAAATTATGTCTGTTTAAAGAATTAAAGAGAATGTATTATCACATAAAAAAACGAAAACAACAACTTACATTGAAAGAAATGTTTAATAAAGCAAATAAATTATTAAGCTTTTTTTTTTTTTTTTTTTTTTTTTGTAAATTTTGACCCTTTAGATCGTAATTGTTCTTTATTTAGTAAATTACGGTTTCATACTTTTAATTTTATAATTTCTGCATGCCATCTTACCAGATTTAAACCTGATGATCTATGATCCGGAAAAATCGATAATCCGGAATCGCCGAAGTCCGATGAGTCCGGATTTAACGACTTTTGATTGATTTAAAAAATTTTAAAACACTGAAAATTTACTCGAATTATGTGTTTCTAGTAAAATTGGCTTTGCTGTTTGCAGGTGACCCCCATGGCATTAAGGTATTGTTATGGATGTTGTATTAGTTGTTAGCCACTGGAATTTAGTAGAATTGTAATTAAAATTATTTATTTCCCCGTGCAATGCAGCGCATGACGAATTTTAAGAGAAAGCTACGGCATAAAATACAAGAGCACATACATTTAACTTTAATAAAAGTTTACCTCCCTAATTGATATTTAATTTGAATAAATGTAATTGACTACAATGCTAACTGTAACTGTAATTATATGCTTTTTGTTTTCGAGAAATTGCTAGAACTCTCTTGTGCGCTCGATTTAAAAAGCTATAAAAACCAGAGAGAGAACATCTCAACTCAGTTGTTTTTCATGACCTGTTGTTGTTTACATAGCTGCTGTAATTTTGATCGGATTAGCTTTCTCTGTGCTTTGGATAGTGTTCTATTTAATGTTCTAGTAGTTTACAATATAACTACTGTGTGATATTGTATGCATATTTCTGAAGGAAAACCTTGCATTTTGTTGCATTTCTTGTGATAAGAATAAATTAACTTTTTATCAGACTTGCGCATTTAATCTATTACAAACCCATATGTATGCAACAGTATTGAGGATGTAATTTTAGTTTATGAACATAAAAAATAATTTTATTCAAGCTTTGGTATTTATCAAATTTTTCTATATGTTTTCTCGTTTAATTTATTAAAACATATAAAAAATAATATAAATTTAAATAAACATACCGGGTGGCCATAATTAAACTGACAGTGCTCACAGTGTTCTGTAGCGCAATCTATTTGCGAGAATGACGCCACATTTTAAGATTAAACAAGACGGGGAATGAAGGATTCCGCGAAAAAACAAATTAGTTCCAAAAGTCACCACTAGGGGAATATTCGGCGCTGCGTAATAGAAAATAGAGTGTTAACAAATGCAAATCAATATGGAAATTACCTTTTATTTTGCATTCAAATGAGGTTCAATGTGGCTGCCGTTGTTGTGGACCACAACAGCAGAAAGTAACATGTCTGCAGGAATCTCCCGTACAGTTCGTGATATGTTATCCTTCAACGTAGCCAGGTCCTGGACCACTCCTTGATAGACCTTGAACTTAAGGTAAGCCCATAGTCAGAAGTCGCATGGGGTAAGATCAGGCGAATGAGGTGGCCATGCAATTGGAAAGTAGCGGCTAATGACTCTTTCTGTTGTGCATTTCTGTCATAGCATCTGTTGCCCCCATACAGCAAACTGTGGAGGGGCTCCATCTTGCATGAAAATGATTTTCCCCAGGCACTGTCTTTGCTGAAGTGCCAGAATGACAAAGCTGTTCAACATGTGGTGATATTTCTCTACGGTAACAGAACAGGTTTCCGGTCCTGTCGGGGTAATGTTCTCACAGAAGAATGGACCTACGATGAATTCCGCTGTGAACCCACATGAAACAGGTACCTTTGGTGAATGTAAGGGAATTACTGTGACTGCATGTGGTGATAAGGATAAGGAACGGGGGACGTGGGCACTATGCCTCTACCATACGGTTAATTAGTATAGCACCATATCCACCATGACCTAGAAAACTCTTAAGACAACACTAATTCAAATACGTGAGTACATTATTGAAAATGAATGATTGATTACAAACAATTGTGGTATACCTTAGCAGTAAAATTGTTGCATTTGTGTAAATAACAAGTTGCATTTGTGCAAATAACAAGTTACGATAAAGACAAAGATGTAGTGATAGTCTGTAAAGTGCTAACGATTAGTATTCCAGTTGTTGCCATTAAAAGAGGATACTTCCTGCTGTAATGGTCACTCCAGGGTCATTTATTCTGCTGCGCAGAGATCCGTGCCGAGACTGGCTAGCTTCTCCATAATTTTGATGAGCTGCCGGCAGAGGTGCTTCTGTTTGACCATAAGCTTACAGAATGCCTGTGTGTTTGTAGTGGGAATACATATGTGCATCCTGTTGGTCAGAGAGCAGGTAGTGACGTAATGCTCCGGAGTACCCAGGTGACCGCAGCAGCTGCATATGGTGATTTGTCATCCCAAATTCGGCAGTTCTGGGTATTCACATTTCCATTCAGGTAAAAGTGGGCCTTGTCTCCCCATAAGATTTTCCACGGCCAAGCATCATCCACCTCCATTCTGGCAAGAAAGGTGAGAGCAAAAGTCAATCACTTATCATGGTCGGGGTACAGTAACTCCTGTACACGGCTGATCTTGTATGGATAGAAGTTAATAATCTTTCGTAAGATTTTCCATACCGTACTGTAAGGCATATCCATATTCCAAACTACTCCACGAGCGCTAGAGGTGGCAGCAATATTGTCTGGTCCTCTGTCGACAATCGTCGTGGCAACTGCTTCAATTGTATCCTGTGGTACAATACGGTTTTTGTCCTCTACCTGACTGAACCTTCAGAGAACCTGTTTTCTCTAACATCCCAACCATTGCTTTTAGCTCAATTAACTGACACAGGGCCGTTACCTTTACGCATTTTTTTCTGCGAGTTTTAAAAGCACGAAGAGCAGGCTGATGCGTTGCACTGGTTCAGGTAAAAGAATTTGACCAGTAACGCACGCTCGAACTAAAGAAGGAAACATTGCACATAAACTTTCAATCCGATTGATTTGAAACGTAACACATTGCCTTTTAAAATCCAAGCAGCTAGCACTGCGCGAATAGGATGTAACGTGAAATTTGAATAAAGAACTTCTTCTGCTCAGCGTACGTGATATTGCAGATCACGAGACTTTATCGGTGTTTATGTAGATTTTACGCTTTTTTAAAAGTGTTGCCATATTGCACTTGAACTAAATCAGAAAATGTGCATAATAAAAGGTAATTTTATTCTGTATTAATTTGCATTTTTTAACACTCTATTTTCTATTACACAGCGCCAAATATTCCTCTAGCGGTGACTTTTGGAACTAATTTGTTTTTTTCGTGGAATCCTTCGTCCTCCGTATTGTTTAATCTTCCTACAAAATGTGGCGTCATTCTCGCAAATAGATCGTGCTACAGAACACTGTGAGCACTGTCAGTTTAAATATGGCCACCCGGTATATGTACTTTTTGAGTTTCAGGAAGGAAGGAGGAATGATCATTTAGCAATGGTCAACGGGGTGCATATGGCTGAAAATGTTTGAGAACACTGGAATAAACTATTGAAAAATTTTATATTAGTTAAAATTTAATTATACTTTGATACCAGTTTTACTAACTTAGGCTGAAATATGTTAATCTTAAATATTACCTGCAAGGTTATACTGTGAACCCCTCCCCACTGGAGAATCTAGAGAAGATGGAGAAGACACATTCTGATTGCGGCTATTCGATGAATGGCCACTTCTCTGCCTTGGTCTTGTGACTGAAGCTGACCTAGAGCAGAACAAATAATTTAAGATTATGAATTTTCAGATTTTATTTCTAATGAGAATGGTTTTTAAGTTATGAACAATTTTGGAAACACTATTAAGTTGAATCTGTACACAACTCAGATAATGATGCAGAATGTATTATTACGCTCATATATGGTAATAATAATACAATATGATACTCTTGTACTGTAAGAATAACTATAGAGGTTTTTATTTTTTAATCCTTTTATGACAGGCACCTCAGTCACCGAAACACTCTCTTGGGACAGTGTACTGACAGGATACACTGTCTTAAAGGGATGGGAAATTTGTGCTACTAAGCCTATAACTTAAGGGAAAAATTCAGATAAATTAAATTTGTAATCTATTTGTTCTAATTTTCGACACACTGTGAGAGGAACACTCAGGTAGTTGTCAGAATTAATTTGAAAACTTTACCATTACATTTTCCTTGCCACTTCAAATATAAAATATGTTTCACTAAACAATACACAAAATATTCACATCAGCATTAGTCTAAGAGGAATGAATAAAACCTCTAAAACAACAAAACATACAAACTCCAGATTATTCAAAACACTATATGATGAGATGGAAAACTACAAACTACACTACACAGAGATAAGGAAGCCTTGGAAAAATTGTTCCATAAACTTCAAAAATGCATTTTTCTAAAACTTACAAAAAGTTGCCAAATTGTTAAAAAAATTGCCATATACTGCCAATAAAATTAACATATAAAAATGCTAAAAAATTGCCAATTATTGTCATTAAGACTTGCCAGGAGTATTTCTGCCCATATTCTACTTGAATTAATCAAAGGTTTACAATTCTAAAAAAGAAACACGCTTTTAAACTAAAAACATGTGGCCATAAATTTAAGTGGGGGGGGGGGAAACACCTTAAAATTATTACCTAAAAAGCAACAAATAAACAAAAAACTAAATATAAACAATACAAAACATTACAACAATACGATTAAATAGACACATATAAGTTGGAAAAATGCTGAATTATTTCAGCTATTGAGATTTGACAATATTAATGAAGAAACTATTCTCTTGTCTACCATAAAAAGGAAAATACTTTTTAGGAATTGTGGGCAGTTCTAACTCTAAAATTGATTTAAAGAAAGTTCATGACTAAGTTTTATAACATTTTAGAACTCACAACATTAAAAATATATAGTTCTATGTTTGCTTTTTGATACTATACTAGAAAACCAGTAACACCCATGACTTCGAAAAATATTACTGAACAAAGCATAGAAATTTTTAATAATTTACAAGAGAAAAGTATGCAATAATTTTTAATTATAATTTATAGTTCAAATATGACAACATTTTACATTTAATTTTAATGTTCAATAACATAAAATTCATGTAACAAAATTACATAAAATAATTATCAAAATTTCAAACAAAAAAAGCATTGAGAGTTATGTGCATGCAAGTTTAAAAACATACCTTGACTTAGACCTTGTCATAGTTGCACCTCTACTTGCAGCAGTTGTTTCTTCCCTGCCTCTAGAAGAGCCACCAGATGTTCCATCTTCCTCTTCCTGAGCCTTTCTCTGTCGATACTGCTCCAGGATGAGCTGACGGCGAAGCTTTTCTTCTTCTTTCTTCTTTTCCTGTTGCTCTCTTTTTATCCTAATGAATAAAATCTTTTCTTGAAGAGAGACTTTTATTTGCTAGTTATATAATTGCATATTTCAATCTTTATTTAACAGTACACATATTCATTGTGAACACATATCACATCATTATAAAGTCTATTCCTAGGTTAAATTAGGTTATCTGAATATGGAAAAGCATGTGAGGACTTTTTTTATATGCCTACAGAGAAGGATGCCTTCATGTAGGAGTTTCTAAGGAGCTCATCTTCATGCTATACATAGGGGAAACAGGTACAGTCAAAAGTCGTTAATTCGGACACCCATAATCTGGAATGATCTAAAATCCGGACCTCAAAGCTACAAACTTTCTGTGCGTGCTTCGCGTTCACGCATGCGCGTAAGACCTTTACGGCTGCGAACAAGCATGTGCGTTTAATGTGAAACGGACGGTATAAGCTAAGCTAAAATTATCTAATTCAGTTAATGTTGCAGATTGCTCAGTTCCTTAACCTTCGAATTGGATCTGGCTTATTATTCTTTGCAGACTGTTAGATTAATTTCATAAAAGTAAGCTTGAATTTTCGATTATGTCAAATAGAATTTCCGATATATATTTACTAATATGTAATTTGTATCTACAAAGAGAAAGTATGTTTGGAAATCCGAAATCTGTTTATAAATTTCACTGCGGGGATTGGAAGTTGATCAGTCAGCACTATCCTTATCTTCAGGGCAGATGTTTTTATTTTATTTGGCTTATAATTCCTTACTAAGTGTAGTATTTCATCTCGTTTGATATGATTTAAATCAAGTTCCTCGTCATTATAATTCGCTTCCAATAGTGAAGCAAGTGACCCAGAGGTTATTGAAAACGAAAATATTTCGATTGACAAATTAGTCGGTATTCTTGACACAGCAATTATAGGACTTGAACAGCGGAATTTTGTAACTAAACAAGAAATTATGTCTGTTTAATAGAATTAAAGAGAAAGTATTATCACATGAAACAAAGCAACTTACATTGAAAGAAATGTTTAATAAAGTAAACAAATAAATATTAAGCTTTTTCATTTTGTAAATTTTGATACCCTTTAGATAATAATTGTTCTTTATTTCATAAATTATGGTTTCATATTTTTAATTTTGTAATTTCTGCATGCCGTCTTACCAGATTTAAACTGATGATCTATAATCCGGAAAAATCGATAATCCGGAATTGCCGAGTCCGGATTAACGACTTTTGTTAAGTCCCGACGAGTCCGGATTAACGACTTTTGACTGTATAGGTAAAAGTGTTGGGAGCACCAGAACTTCTTTAAAGATTGCACAGGTATAGCTCCCAATCACTAACAGAATACAGCAATGAGGGAAGAACAGAAGAAGAATAAAGCTGGTGATAGTTCTTTAGAGGGAGATTTAGAAGTTTATTATTAAGAGAGGAGGAGAGAAAGGTTATTAGAAGAAAACTAGGAAGGTCATTAGAAGGGTTACTGTGTAAATCAATTATTAGCCCACCGGATGAGATCAGATCTCAAAACTTTGTACCGTTAGGAAAGGTTGCACTTTTATACAATGAGCCATATATATCCTGGTTGTTTGAACAATAGTTGTGCCATGTTTTAAGTTTTGCAGATATTATTTGATTTTTACATGAGGCCTTTTGTTTTCTATATTTTTGGAGTACGATGAGTCGTTCTTCATCACTTTGCAATTATTAGAGTTTTCTTCGTAAAGCTCGTGTTTTGTGTTTTTCTTTGCAGAGTACTTTTGTCCACCAGTTGATTTTTATAATGGGAGTTGATGATCGTACGTTCACAGGTATCTTTAATCTTTCTGATAAGTTCCTTGGTAATATTTTTAAGTTCTGTTTTGGTTGTACATCAATTAATAGAATTGGTAAAGTCATTTGAAATTGGATTGAACTCTTGTTGAAATTTTTTTTCTTTGTTATTATTCATTTTTAAATCTTGTAAGTGCGGTAATGGATGTATATCAGTTATATAGAAAGAAATACATTTGTGATCAGATTCGGTATGTTCATGTAGTATTGATCTGTTGTTAACTTGATTAGCAAGATGGGTTGTAGAAATAAGAAGATCAGTCCAACCTTTATTGTAGGTATTATCAAAGGTGGGTCAGTAAAATGATTATGTAGAATGAGATTGTTTGCATTTAAAAATTCTGCAAGTATTTCTCTTCTGTGACCAGTTTGTAAGTATTCCCATAAAGTACTATGCAAGTTAAAGTCTCCACTAATAACATGCAGACTATTATATTTTTGTAAGATTTCATTTACTACGGATAAGCCTGATTTGGATTTTCTGATAGATATATAAATACTAGTAATAAGAAGCTGAGATGTGTTAGTATTGATTGAAATTGTGATTAGGTTTCAAGTATTAATAATTATTGTAGGATTCCATTTATTGTTTGGAATGAATATGGCTGTGCAAGGAAATAAAACAGCATTTGAAGCATGACGTTGAATAATTGTCCAGTTATTTGGAATTCTTCCTACTTTGCCAGTGATGCAATAAGGTTCTTGTGTTGTTATAAAATCTGTTGGATGATCTACTTGATACTTACATAGTTGGTTGGTGGCAGTCTTTGCTCTTTGAAGATTTATTTAGAGAAATTGGATGCAATTATTATTCTTTTTATTGATGGAAATGGTCGATAGATAGTTTGCAGGAAGTTATTAATGATAATATGTCCTGGATTTTACGTGTCTAACTTTTGTTTGACATGTGGGAGCAGGAAATAGCTGAAGCTGGATGTTTACAGTCAAAGTTTGCTGCATATTTTTCATTGTTAATCCAGCAGTTTATGAAGTACGGAGTTTGGGTAGAGCAGCAAGAAACATGATGTTTTTCACTGAAGACTGAGCATCTTGGTTTGAAATGATAATCTTTTGTCTTATGGGAGATGTCCTGGCAGATTTGGCATCTGCAACAACACTGATAAATTCAGTTATTTTATTGGTGCGCCATCCAATATATATTTGTTTTTTTTTTGTTCATACAATTTTGGAAAGTTTGACCGTGACATTCTATGATTCATTTATCAGTATTATTTTGATCATTCAGTTTAAATAAGGGTCTTAGCTCGGAACTATTTGATTGTGTTTCTTGGGCTATAATTTGAATCAGTTCATCAGAGTTGAAATTTTTTGGAATATTATGAATTGTACATTTTGGCATTCTGGCTTTACGAAATTTTATGTTTTGCAACTGTTTTGGCACTGAGGTTATAGCTGATATTTTTCTATATATTCTGGGTTATGAGTGTATTACAAGGCCTCCTTGAAGAATGGTATTTATTTTTTTGACATTGATATTTAATGTTTGGAGTGGTATTATTTCTTGCGATTTATCTTGAAAAATTTCTATATATTCTTGCATCCTTTTGGTATAAGAGTATAGTATTATTTGGTTTACTTGGTATAGTACTCGCAACTTCTGCATATGATCTTGAATTAGTATACATGGAGTTGTTTCTTGGTTGGTTTATTTGATAGTTAGGATCATTTCTGGGTTCTAGGTTGTTATTATAAAATTCCATAATTGGATGAAGTTCTCTATTCACTTGAAGAGCGTTGTTTGATTCTACTTGTTTATAACTCAAATTTGGTTGATATTTTATATTGTCAATAAATGGATTAAATGATTTTCTTTTTTCATTAAGAAAGGGATAATTATGTACTTGATTATCCTGTGTTTTCCTTGGACGTATATTGGCAGAATTCTCAATTCTTTCTGGGATCGCTGTTTCAATCATATTTTGCCATGATATTAGGGGTCAAAAGTTAGCTGCAAGGTTGGAGTGCTTATTTGAGATGTTGATGCATCATTTAATGTTACTGATGTTGGTTCAGTTGCAGTGTCATGAAGATTAAGTGATGTTGGTCCCGTTGGTCTAGTTGAGGTGTTATTCAGTGCACAATCTTTGAGGAAGTCGACAATTGATTTAATTTAGTTGCAAAGTTCTTTAGAAAGATATCTCTTATGTTTGTTATCGCTCTTTAAAAGAGGAATCAATTATCATAAGCCTTTTGAATTTTTATTAGTCTTTCATCATTGAAATCTAATATAGTTGTATTATCATTTTGTTCTGTAGGTATTATAGATAATGCAGATGATGATGGCGGATGTACACTTGGAGATCTTGACATGTTGTGTTAAACAAGTAGTTATCAAATAAGTCTTAATAGTAAATTGTAAAGTTAAAATTATAAAAAGAAATATATTAAGTAATATCATAAA